GGCTGGGGCTGCCCTGGGCGAGGGGCCGCGGCGTGAAACGGGGAACGGGAGAACCTCCGGCCTTCCGGCACGGGGGCGTGGGCCTGGGGTGCCCCAGAGATCGTGCCGGCGCTGTTCTACAAGAAAGCTGGGGAGGGACTTTTTAGGATCTCAAGTAACAACAGAACTAGGGGGAATGGGGCAAAGCTGGCAGTGGGCAGATTCAGGCTGGATGTGAGGAGGAAGTTCTTCACCATGAGAGTGGTGAGACCTTGGAATGGGTTGCCCAGGGAGGTGGTTGAGGCCCTATCCCTGGGGGTCTTTAAGGCCAGGCTGGAGGAGGCTCTGGGCAGCCTGATCTAGTGGGAGGTGTCCCTGCTCATGGCAGAGGGGTTGGAACTGGGGGATCCTTGTGGTCCCTTCCAGCCCTGACAGATTCTGATCTGTTTTGGCAGAGGACTTTGGAGCCCTGGTGGCTCGGTGGTTGGACTTGATGATCTTGGAGGTCCCTTCCAACCTAAAGGATTCTATGATTCTATGAGCTGGGGGCCTGTCTTGCTGCGCTTTCCCCAAGCTTAAAAAAAAAAAAGTAGAGAGTTCAAGTATAACAGGTTAAGTGCAAACAGTTTTACCAAGGTGAATGTCCTACACGGACGTTCATGAGGCAGACTCAGCATCGTCCCAGGACTTCTGTACTGTGGCTTCTGACTGTGCCCCTTAATTCATCAGAATATTATTAAAAAGGTGCATATGTTTAAGTCAAAGTCGATCGTTTCTGTGTTTGGTGTTTTTTTTTACATTTTGGACTCTTCTGATGTGTAATTTCTTAAGACAATTGCTGAAGTGATGGAATCAGGTCAGGGGTCTTGCATACTTAACAACTAAAAGCATCCTACAGGGAAAAAAAACATTCTTGGAACTAGTTAGAATTGAGGTTTTGTGTTTGAACACTCTGTGCTTGTACTTTAGCAATGTATATCAATAGTCTATGAAAATATTCTAAGTAGGGTGGGAATAAATGTAAGCTGCTGATGCTTTCCACTTCGCAGTGACTGCCACTTGATGCAGTTCTTAGTTGCAAAGAAGAAATGGCATCTGGAGCAAGTGGAGAGTCCATTCTTTACACAGTATTGTGACTTAGTTTCTGATGTGTGATTGCAGGTGAACGAATCAAAAAGCCAGTTCCTCTTCAGGAACAGACTGTTAGAGATGCAAAGGGACGTTACCAGCGTTTCCATGGAGCCTTTACTGGTGGATTTTCTGCTGGCTACTTCAACACTGTTGGCACAAAGGAAGGTGAGATACTTTTCCATCTTCTGGGAAAGGTTAATAAGGTTAATTGGTTAGCATAATTTAATGTTAGTGAAAACAAATCAACTGTCATTAAGCTTTTTTTTTTCCTTCTGCTATTCATGACACTGTAAACTGTTGAAATTATATTGTTGAAGTTATTTCCCCATGAGTTTTTGGACTGCAGTTTTACACTATTCCCTTGATGTATCCTTAACATGTAAGGTTGAATGTTTAAATTGTTTGCAAATATGATGTTGCAGTTTACAGTACCTTACTTAGGTATTTGCTGTGTTTAAAGGATGGACTCCTTCAGCTTTTGTATCATCACGGCAGAAGAGAGCAGACAGAACTGTTCTTGGACCAGAAGACTTCATGGATGAAGAGGTAAATTTAGAAAGGAATACAAATCTTTTGGAAGTAGTTGCTATGACAAGAAGTTTTTCAGGCAGTGAAATCTTCTTAAATAGCAAAAATGGAAGTAACTTGAAAATTATTTGTTCTATACATTGTTACACTGCTAGGTCCTTTAGGGTGTTTTGGAGATTCACTTTGGGAGCTCCAGTAATCTCAATATTTAAAAAACCACCACAACAGAATTCAACCCTTTCACTTCTTGTATCAGAAAATACAAATGCTTTTCAAACTGTTTGAAGCATGATCATTCAAGTTATTGAAAAAGCAACTGTATGAGTGGCTTGAAAAAATCAGCTAATATGAGGGTCATATCCTGTGCTCTTTCTTTTACCATTACAGTAAATAAGCATTGGAGTGGAACGTATTTTTATAACTAAACATTTCCATTTTGTCTCTGTTTTCCAGGATCTTAGTGAATTTGGGATAGCACCAAAGGATATTACAACCACAGATGATTTTGCATCCAAAGCAAAAGACAGAATAAAAGAGAAAGCTAGGCAGATTGCAGGAGTGGTTGCTGCCATTCCAGGAACCACCGCATTTGATGATTTAATAGGACCATCAAAGTAAGTAAATTTAAATAACAGTTAACCAAACAATTCTTCCCACTTAGAAGTGTTTCATTAGTTAGCAACATGTTTGTCCACAGTAATCCACGAAAGGTACTGGAAGATCTGCAGTGTTACCCTTGCAGAGTGGCCTCCACGTGGATTTTTGTTTTGTGTGTGTAGACTTGTACCAGGCAGGCATTTACAAACTGGGGAGTAATGTGTATGCAAACGTTGGTGTGTTCAAATCTGATTTTAAAATAGAGTATAAAAACATAATGTCATTTTTAAGTGTTAATCTTATTATTCGTAAATATATATTGAAAGTGTGATTGTTTTCCTTTCATTTTTTTCTTAGAATAACAATTGGGGTTGAACTGTTAAGAAAAATGGGCTGGAAAGAAGGACAAGGAATTGGACCACGAGTCAAAAGAAAGCCACGCAGGCAGAAACCTGGTCAGTTCAGTGGAGTTCCTGAAGGGAGTAATAGAACGTTTGCATTCACAGAATGATTAGAAAGTTCATTTTAAAGCCTTCTTTTGTTTGGTCTGTAGAGAAATTGAACTCAGAATGGTAATTTAATATGATATTGTTATGTCTCTTGCAGACCCTACAGTGAAAGTGTATGGTTGTGCCTTACCACCTGGACTGTCTGAGGGTTCTGAGGTACTGAACAGGCAAAAATTGTTTGTTGACTTGTGTAAAAATGTGTGCTCACTTAAAAAAAACCTTTGTGTCTTTGAAGGGTATTTTAATGCAGAATCTAGTTCTGTTAAAGGTATTCATAAAGGGTTGTTATGCTTAGTGTGAAAAACAATTTTAGTGTAACAGAATTTATTCTTTTGCTACCTAAGCAACAGTTCATACATATTTTCCTATGCAAGTTAGGAAATGCAAAGTTGCAAAGTTATGTGAACTGCATACTCTAAAAGCTTTAAAACAGACAAAACTTTTAGTCATGTTTTTTTTTGTTGTATACCTCTGTTTTGTACAAGGATGAAGAAGATGAGTACCAGCCAGAGAATGTGACATTTGCACCAAAAGATGTAATGCCTGTAGATTTGACTCCAAAAGAGAATGTCCATGGACTTGGCTATAAGGGTTTGGATCCCTCACAAGCTCTGTTTGGTGCCTCTGGAAGAGAACACCTGAACCTTTTCCCAGGTGGTTCTGAAGACACAGGCAATTTACTTGGTGATCTGAAGCACAGTAAAGTAAGAAAACTAGGTATTACAGGCCAGGTAAGGACATTTTAAAATTAATTTTATTATTAGTGCAGTAAAGTCTCAATAAATTTTAATCTTTATTCTGTAGAATGTGCCTAGTCATTGTAGGGTTATTGTAAGAAATCTTGTGTGGTTCGAGAGCAGGATTTTTTTGTCGTATTTTTTCTTTCATATGGAGGTGTGGGCAAATCCTTAGAACTTTTAAGGCCTTCTCTTACTGATTTTGTTAGACAGCTATAAAGTACCTCACTCTGAATAGCTTGATGGAGAAAGTTCTTCTGTTACTTTAGTCACAGAATGTTGATAGAGAATGTTTTTAGTTTACTTTGGTTTTAGTTAGTGAGTCCCTTCAGTAATGTTGAATCTGAGTAGAGACATTTTACTTCCCTCCCTGGTACCTGGTTGATTGATATGGCTGGGACTTACACTTCTTTAATTTTTGTGCCAACTGTTTGGTTGGGTTTTTTAGTGTTGGTTTTTTTTTTTTCATTTTGAGAACTAAAGCTGCTCATAGTCAGTCTGCAAATGTTACCCTGTGGAGTTAGGCTGCTGTCCTTGTCCTGTACACACCAGACTCCCTGTCCCTCCCTGCCAAGGGAGTGGAAGATGTTTGCTTTCATGTACAGAGTTGTTTGTCATTGTTTGCTTTTTATTTCACCAGTCAATAACACTTCTACTTTAGAAGGTGTCTATATGTATGTATATTGCACATCTTATATAGATACAGATGTACAGATAGACTGTAGATGTGTCCTGACACTTGAATTAAAAGTATTGTTTTTATACTTTTGAATCCTCATTATTTGTATTTTAAATACATTTTAGGCTTTTGGTGTAGGAGCTTTAGAGGAGGAGGATGATGACATTTATGCAACTGAAACATTGTCAAAATATGATACAATTCTAAAGGATGAGGAACCTGGAGATGGCTTGTATGGCTGGACAGCACCCAAGCAGTATAAATCAAAAAAAAGTAAGAACCATAGTTCCACCTGAAGAGCCAGTGTAATATGTATTTGGGGTGGGGGTGAGGAGAAAGTAAAGACATGACTGCAGTCTCTGTTTTCCAAATATTTTAAAATTCAGTGGGCTGCTATCTTCCAGCCCTGATATCTGAAACTTCATCTAGTCTTTCATCTGTATTGAAGTGTCCAAATCTAGAAATAACTTCCAAAGTTCTCCATGAATTCTAATGTAGATCTAACTCCCAAATTGTATTTTTAAACAGACAATGTGTGCTGCTTTGTAAGATACAGCATTCAGCTCCACTGAAGGAAGGAGATGGTTGTGAATCATGGCTACAAAATAGAATCCAATACTTGCAAAGACAGATTTTTTTAGTATATATACACACTTGGGTATTTTCCAACTAACATGGGTAATTTTATCTTGATGCCATTTTAGTGCAACTTTTAAGTGCATGAAATATACTGCAGTGATTTCTAGAGTACCTGTTGATGTTAGTTGTACCCTGTTAGTGGCTGTCATGATGATATCTGCACAGTAGTGATACTGTTGCCTGACTGTTAGCCATATTCATCTTACAGCAATCTCTCTGGTAGTGGTTTCTCACCTGTAAAATACTAATCCAGATTCAGAAATTCAGATTTAACTCTAAAGGAAAGGCAGTGAAGACAAAAAATACAATTATGCTCTTTAAAATACCTTGCCAAATCAAAAATATTCAGAAAAATGTGTGGGGTTTTTTTTTTTCCCCAAAAATCCGTGTTTTAAATATTGACTAACTTTATGGTTGTATTGTAGATTCAGAAAGAGAAGTCAAATATATAGGCAAAATCTTGGATGGTTTTTCCTTGGCATCAAAATCATCAACTCCAATCAAGGTGAGTGGATACTGATATTTTTGTATTATGAGTAACATCAGCAAATTGACACGTGAGCCATATGGACTTTACTGCTGCTTGATGGGTTTTATTTTCTTAAAAATGGAAGTTCTGGTCAGCAATAAAGATTGCTGAATGAGCAAAACTACAGTGTTGAAGGCTACTAGATAAAAACCTAAAATTTGTCAGACTACTGGATGCCTGTAAACTTCACATATGTGCTGGCTTTGAGTAAATGCCTTCCACACTATCCACTGTTTCTTAGTGAAAAGGTGGAAGAATGGTTTGATTGGAATTTTAAACATAAAAAAACTTACATCTTTTGCTTCTAATCTTTCAGATGTAACAGTGTTTTCTGTAAAAATCAGATCCTCTGCTTCATACCCTTCACTATTTTGATGGCATGTTATTTTGTTACCCCTATCATCAGGTTTGCATAATTTATACCATATATATTTACATAAATTGGAATGACAAACAGAATTGTGTGACATGGTCCTCTTTCTAATGAATTAAAAGGAAGAACATTTGCATGGCATATAAAATTTGCATTATATAAGAAGCACAAGGATAACCTTTGAAGTAACAGGTTGAATGGAGAAAATG